AGTTGTATGTCATAGCTGCACATCCTTCTAGTTGCTGTATGTGGGACTCGGCCTCAGGATGGACGGAGAAGTGGTGCCTCGATGCACACCCGGGATCCGAACCCGGGCCACCAGCATCGCAGCGCACGCACTTAACCACCAAGCCACAGGGCCGGCCCATCTTGAGTGTTTTTAAAATGCTGGCATGCAAGTTTGGAAAAATAGCTTAAAATGTGTTTCTAATGATTATAGGCTTCTTGTTAAGTCTTCCTTCCAGGCTGGAATTGTCGGAAGTATATCCTGCTCCTTTTTAATACAAGGTCCTGGATGTGTGCTTAAAATCCATTTTCACCCCCAATTTATAGCCCATCAAGAACTGCAGGATCTACTTTGGCTGTGGGAGCAGAAGTCACTGTTTGGATCTTATTTCCTGTTTCAGATTCAGTATGAAAACTGCATCTATAGCCAGAGTCTAGGAGTTCGCTGTAAGGGGCAGGAGAGAACTTGTCTGCCTCGGCATCGGCCTGCCCCTTGTGACGTATGCAAATTGCCAATGGCAGAGTTCAAGTGCGTTCAAATATGTGGCATTTTTCACAGCTCATTGTGCTTTAGATCTTGTATTTCTGAAAATCACTTGAGATTTGCCTACTTGATAAATTTCGCTTTCCTGGTCATAAAACAAGACGGTAGATTTAGTCAAGTCTATTTCCTTCACGAGAGAAAAGCTTCTGACTTCGTCCTCCCTTCTCTTCCCATCTGCACCGCAAATGAAGATAAAGTAGAAACTTGAGGGTAACAGGTAAAGTAACCTTGTGAACTCAGAGACGAAGAAATATAGGTCACGTTAACACAAATTCGCATCTCGGACGTCTGCTCCTTGCTTTCACTCCCAACACTTTAGCTGGTCCGCTGTGGAGACTTGCTTTTCAACTTGAAATTTGACTTGCCTGGAAGGAAGCTATTGCTTATCAGATTTATCTAAATGGAGCAATTAATCTTACAATCGTAATTATTAGCACTGAAGACCCGGAGAAGGAAAATGTCATGATGGCTTAGAGCCCAGAGCTCAGACTGTCTCCCCTGTGTCTAGAGCTCTGTCTTCTGAATCCAGAGCTGCTCAGAAACCTGGTGCTGCTCAGGCCTCGTCTGCTGACATACTTTTGAGATCCTGTGATCTAAAACCTATCTTGAGGGGCTGGCCCAGTGGCAAAGTGGTTACGTGAGCGTACTCAGCTGTGGCTGCCCGAGGTTCACAGGTTCGGATCCCGGGCATGCACTGATGCACTGCTTGTCAAGCCATGCTGTGGCGGCGTCCCATATAAAGTAGAGGAAGACGGGCACTGATGTTAGCTCAGGGCCAATCTTCCTCAGCAAAAAGAGGAGGATTGGAGACAGGTATTAGCTCAGGGCTGATCTTCCTCACCAAAAATATAAAATAAAACCTATGTTGATCATCTTATCTTTCCAAGGGGGCAGAAATTAAGCAAGTTTGTACTGAAGGCCTGTTATGTCCCAGGCGCTGTGCTAGATGTAGGGCCCACCGCAGTGACCAAGACGTGGACCTCACAGTGAGGGAGCCTCCAGAACCGCAGAGAAGAGTGGTGCTGCGCTTTCACAGCATTTACATGTGGTGTCATTCTAAGTGTATTAATTCATATCTTGTGTGAGATCGAGCCTATCGTTATCCTCATTTTACAGATAAGGAAACTGAGGTGAAGAGACACTCAAGTGTCCCCACCAGGATCTGAAGCCCACTTTAAATAAGTGATCTTAGTGTCCTGAGGCCCACGGAGGGAAAGTTACAGTGGGGGCTCTTGCTAATGTGATCTTACCCGATCCAGGTGGTTAGATGAGTACATGGGAGTCAGGCTGGGGCTGATCCAGGCAACAGTGGTCTTTTTCTAGAGTTATCAAAGGCTACCAAGTGGAAGTCCAAGGATGAAAATCAACAGTAGACAACTTGTGTTTGTTTGTTGTGTGCCTGACAGGCATGTTTTAAAAATCGTTGAATTTGCATACTCTTGACTTTGAATGTGGCTACTCTTAGGAAACAGCTCTCTCCAGTTTGCTGTCTTATACTCAGTTCATGTCATTCCTCTTTCCCCACAATCTGCTCCTCCTCCTGCTTCTCTTCTCAGTAAATGGACGGCATCAACCATCTGAGACGCAGCTGAGAGTCATTCTTGCCTCCCCTCCCCACCTCCAACTCTGACATTCGCACCATCACTAAGTCCTACCAGTTCTAACTCTCGCATATCTCCTGAACATCTGTCCTTACTGCCAGACCCCAGCTCAGGTCACTGTAACTTGCACCTCAGTTACTCCGTCAGTGTTCTCTCTCCCAGTCTTCAGTTTTGACATTTTCTAAGGGATGCTTCACAGGGCACTCAGAAGGATCTTCACAAAAGGCTAATCTCATCATTACAATCCCCTGTTAGAAACCACTTGGAGGCTTCTCTTGGTATAAAGACCCTTCTTTTGGTCCACAAGGCCCTGACCACCAGCCCCCGGCTGCTTCTTGGCTATCACCTCCTGCCTCTCCACCCACATGGCAGCAGCTCTGTCTCCAGTATCAGACCAAGGATGTGGGCTCAGGTACCTGGGTGAGGGGAGCAGGCTGGGAAGGAGAAGAGTGGAAAGGCAGGGACTGAAATAAACTGGAAGCCCATTAACTGGTTAAAGGGCCAGCTTGAGTAGAAAATGGAAACCAGGATTTTTATGTAAAATCTCCTGATTTATAAAAATTAGCTCAAACATCTTAAGAACATGTTGGAGGCTAAATGAAACCTGGATCCGACTCCTGAAAACAGGTTTGTGAGCTCTGCTTGGACCTGCTGTGGTGTACCCCCGGGTGAAAGATGTCTTATCTTTGCATCCCTGGAGCGGGACACGTCACAGATGCTAAGGACATGTGTCCTGGAAACCAAGAGTTCCGGCACACCCAGATCACATAAGGGCACAACCTGAAGTTCCAACAGACACGTTCACCAAGCCCTTGCCAGGTGCCAGCCACCGTGCTCAGAGTCTCACCCGTACAATCACACCGGATCCTCACAACAAAGAGGAGGTCCTCCTCCCCTCCATTTTTGGATGAAGAAATGAAGACAGGATGGGTCGCTTTTCCAGGTGAGAGCCAGGGAGTGGCGGAGGTGACATCCAAGTCTGTTCAGACTTCAGAGCCCATGGTTTGCGTCTGACTGCCTTTTTCATCCGAGAAAGCAAGTACGAGCAGGCCACTTGGAGATATGGGTATTGATTATAACACTCGATACTGAGTTTTCAATAAGTATGGCTGGAAATTTTACATGGATCAAGTGTATCAAGGTAGAGAGTAACAAGTGTTCCTGCAACGTTGGCATTGTGGCTGCCGGGGACTCTGACATGGGGACACACGTCAGCTGCGGTGTGAATTTCCACGTCACAGCCCATCTAGGATAGTGACGGTTGCTTCAGAAACAACTCATGCTTCCCCAGCCTTCTTGCTACCCCGTAAATTCTTTTTTTTTTTTTTTAAAGATTTTTTTTTTTTTTAAGATTTTTTTAAAATTTTTTTTTATTTTATTTTTCCCCCCAAAGCCCCAGTGGATAGTTGTGTGTCGTAGCTGCACATCCTTCTAGTTGCTGTATGTGGGACTCGGCCTCAGGATGAACGGAGAAGTGGTGCCTCGATGCGCACCCGGGATCCGAACCCAGGCCACCAGCATCGCAGCGCGCGCACTTAACCACCAAGCCACAGGGCCGGCCCACCCCGTAAATTCTAAAATCCCCACAAAGAAACCACAGGTTGAATGCCACCTTGAGCTGCCTGCAATACTCTCAGTTTTTAATTCTTGCTCTAAGAGTCAGAAATTATATTTCACAACGAAAGACAACAGAAAAGACAAACACTGCAGGTAGTTTGAAAAATCTAAACATTTTGAAAAATTTTGAAAAATCTAAACTGTTATTGAAGCTGCGGCAAGTGAACCAGGTCTGTTAACGACAAGGATCACTTGACACGTGGAGGGCATGGTGGCTCAGCAAGTTCATAAAACGGGGAAAGACGCCGGCACATCTGTCGGGGGCATTTCCTAGGAGGGCTGTCGTGGGCTGCTGGCCAAGCCCTGGGATGATGCCTGTTGTCAGGACCCAGATGGTGCAGAACTGCCATTTAAAAGCTCTCAACCTGCACCCAGAGGAAAGAGCACATACAGCAGAAGGTTTGCAAACTGGCGGGAAGAAGGTAAATCCTTGTACTGGCAACTCTGTGGAACTCACCTGGTAAACACACGTTACCTTGCTGTTCATTCTACCAGGACCTTTGCCAAGACAGAACGTGAGAATACACTGCTGCTGCCACCTCGCACAGACAGCTGTTGCTGCTAAACTCCCAACTAGTCGATCAGCACCCACACGGGCCCCTGTGCAATCTGACCACCACATACGGCTACAGTTTGGAGTCACCTCCTAAAGCCCCCCATGCCTCCCACCACTGTCAGCGCAGAGACCACCTCGTTAACGTGGCCTGGCTCCCGTCAACCACCCCAGATTACTTTCTGTCTCCCCAGCTCTGGCCACACTAACTTCCAGTGCTTTCCATTCACCAGACTCCCCGAGGCTCCAAGGCCGCCTACCACGCTCCTTTGTTTCTTTGTCCCATTCCCAGGTAGCGGCGGCTTCTCCTTCAGATCTCAGTTCAACCTCCCCTGGGGACGCCCCCCTACAAGGTCAAATCCCCCTACTCTCTTAGCAGCAAGCCCCTCTAGTTCTTAGCTTCGATCAAGGTTGAGATTTCAGTTCCATGTGTGACATTATTTGAAGGACTTCATTCTCCTACGAAGACAGTAAACAACACAGGAAGAGAGACTGGCTGTTTGCCTCCAGCAATATCTGGCTACGTCTGGCAGAGAGTAGCAACAACAGAATGCAAGAATTCATAAGATAAAGCCCGGCGTTAACTTTGATGGGCAAAGAAACGCGGCCTTTTCTACTGGGGTACCGATTATTGAACGCTTGCAAAATGTTCCCAAAGGTGGAGAGACTACCCTAAACGCTCCACGCAGAGGACCATGTCACAGTCATGTAGCAGAATCACAGCATGTCCAGTCTAGAGGCCACCTCAGCACTTCTGCTTTGATTTCAGTCTGTGGATGATCTACATTCTTTCCTCCCCTTTCCTCCTCCTGTTCTTTTCTTTTCAACATCTTTATTGGGATATAACTAACATACCATAAAATTCGCCCATCTAAAGCGTATAATTCAATGGTTTACCATTCAGAGCTATGCAAACATCATCGCAATGTGAGTTTAAAACATCTTCATAATCTCAAAAAGAAACCCTGTACCCATCAGCGTCACTCGCCAGTCTCCTCCCCACCCCCAGCTGTAGGCAACCACTAATTTACTTTCTGTCTGTGTAGATTTGCCTATTCTGGAATTTCATACACACAGCACCATACCATACGTGGTTGTAGCATCATGTATCAGTACTCCACTATTTTTAATTGCTAAACAACATTCCACTGTATGGATACACCACACTTTATTTATTCATTCATCAGTTGTGGACATTTGGGCTGTTTCCATTTTTTGGCTATTATGACTAATGCTGCTAGGAACATTTGCGTACAAGTCTGTGTGTGGATGCACCTTTTCATTTCTCTTGGGTATATACCTAGGAGCGGAATCACTGGGTCATATGCTAACTATGTTTAATATTTTGAGGAACTGCAAACTGTTTTCCACCCCGGCTGCACCGCTTTATGTTCCCACCAGCAGCGTGTGAGGGCACCAGTTCCTCCACACCTTGCCGGCACTGTCACTGTCTCTTTGATTACAGTCACCCTGGCAGGTGTGAAGTGGCATCTCATGTGGTTTTGATGTGCTTCTCTAATGGTTAATGAGCCTGAGCGTCTTTTCCTGTGCTTATTGGCCATTTGCGTCTCTTTGGAGAAATGCCTATTTATTTATTTACTTTTTTTGAGCAAGATTGGCCCTGTATAACATCTGTTGCCAATCTTCCTCTTTTTCTTTTTCCTCCCCAAAGCCCCAGAACATAGTTGTATGTCATAGTTGTAGAGTTGTAGCTCTTCTATGTGGGACGCCATCTCAGCATGGCTTGATGAGTGGTGAGTAGGTCCGCGCCCAGGATCCGAACCAGTGAACCCCGGGTCGCTGAAGCTGAACGTTCGAACTTACCCGCTACGCCACCGAGCCAGCCCCCAAAAAATGCCTATTTAGATCCTTACCCATTTTTTGCTTGAGTTAGTTGTCTTTTTATTATACTGTTGCAAGCCAGATGCTTTTGAATTATTTTACTATTAGTATCTATAACAGCATGGAAAAGGAGATTGACAAGAACAGATGAAAAAGTACACTGGCTTCACATCAAAGCAGAAAAATCTCAGAACTGGCCAGGGTGAGGGATCCAAGGGCAGCAGCAGAACAAAGGTGGGCCGCTCACAAGAAGAGAACAGCACTCTCTCTCCCTTTCCTCTCTACTTCCTCCTTCCCGATAACCACTGAGCCTGTGAAGACAGCACGCTGATGTGAACATGCCCTCCAACACGAACATTTCCAGCCCTTCACAGAGCTCTGCCGGGTCTGCTCAGCAGGAATCCCCGCACACAGCACGGTCTGACAGGTGAGAGACACCGATTAACATTTGCTGTTTGCACAAATGGATCGCACAGGGGTATTTCTGGTATTCAAGAAAAGCTATCGAAGTGAACTTCCCAGTGAAGAGAAGATGGCGTAGGAGGCAAAGAGGACCGGGTCTGAGTCCAGCCACGCCTCCCGGCAGCTGGGGGATCTCAGGAGCAGACCTCCTTCTCGATAATGTGCATCACCAGGTTAAAGAAGACACCCAGTACGAAAACGC